ATTTTATTAATATATTGAGATTGTGATGTTTTGCTTTTTCTGGGAAAATGGGGGCCCTTTTCCTCTGTGACAACTTGCTTCTCCAGCTGGATAGTCGAGGCTTGATTTAGAAGACACTGAGAATGGGCTCCTGGGAAGGGCCCTGGACTTCCTAATGTCCTCCTCCACTGAGAGGTATCAAGTGCCTTTCATCACTGAGATCATGCTGGTGGTTTTCAGGACCCTCTCCCCTCCTCCTATTCCTGCCCGGGCTCCTGTGGGTGTTCGGGTTTTTGAGCCGTGCAGCTGTCGGACAGTTTTTCTTCTTGGCTCAACACTTGCTCTTTGCTCATTGCTGCTTTGTCTGGAATGTCATTTCCTTTTGGGCTCGTCTGTCCAGATCTCAGACTCGTCTCCAAGGCCAGGTCCAAGGCCCGCTTTAAGATGGAGACTTGCCTGACTGTCAGGAACCTCGCTCCTCTGCGCTTACACAGCAGAGCAGAGCCTTCGATTCTCCGCGTTATCCTGTCTCGTGTCTTCTCCCTCCTTCTCCCTCCTTGATGGTGGTTCTCTCAAGGTCAGGAAGCTTTGCCTTCCTTTTTTTCCCCTTTGCCTGAGTGGCGTGTGGGACCCTAGTTCTCCAAACGGGGTCCAGGGGTCGAACCTGTGTGCACCCTGCAGTGGAAGTGTGGGGTCTTGACCACTGGACAGCCAGAGAAGTGGCAGCATCACCTTCTTATATTTTATCTTTACCACTGTAAATTCATTAATGCCTTTCCCCTCGGCCCAGTTAAAAGGCAGAGAACAGTAGCTTATTGATCTACCTAACAATTATTTTACAGTATTTTTATCCATGGTAAAAAAGGAATAGGGGAGTGTTATAAACGTGAAAATGATGTAAAAACAAGCGTTACCAAGAAGCCTGAAAACAGAGATCCAGAAAGATAAAGTGCCTTGCTTGAGTCACACAGTTGGGGAATAGCTTAGTGTTTGGTCTAACCACTTATCTATCCTGTACCTGGTCGCTTAGAGCTGTGCTGTTTCCTGACAGCTCTGCCTCTTTCTAGATCAGGTATTGGCACCCCAAAACCCTGCAGATCCTCCCTAGGGCTCAGAAGCGTTCACATATCAAAACACACCAATTCCCAAAGTCACCGAAGTTGTACGTCACAACTTAGGCAAAGGTGATGAATGCATATTAAACCAGCCACTCCTAGTAAATGGAGAAGCTGTGGAAAAGCCCTGTGGCACGAAGAGCTAGGATGCTGAAGATGGTTCTGTCATTAATGAGGCCCAGCAGAGTGTCCTCTGCTGATGGTTCTGCCCTTCGTGGAGGGAAGTTGTGTCGAGATGATGATGCAGAGGCAAAGGCATCATCCAAGTGCAAAGGCTGCACCGCTGAGGGTAAGGATGGTGGTGGGTTCAGGCAATTAAAAGTAGGTGGTTTTGGAGGGCTGGGCTCAAGGCTAGACTTCCCAGGTGGCGCCAGTGGTAAAGAACCCGTCTGCCAACGCGGGTAGACTTAAGAGACTTGGGTTTGATCTCTGGCTCGAGAAGACCATATGCAGGAGGGTTTAGCAACCCACTCCAGTATTCTTGCCTGGAGAATCCCGTGGACAGGGGAGCCTGGTGGGCTATGGTCCATAGGGTCACACAGAGTGGGACATAACTGAAGTGACTTAGCAAGCACTCACAGGCTCAAGGTCGTAATGTGGGAGTAGTGATAGATGAGGTGGGAGAGGAAAGAACAGTCAGAGTTAATGTGTTGTGCTGAGGGATTCTAACTTGATCCTGGGAGAGCAGGGAGCCTTTAAGACTTCTAAGGAGCCTTCAGGTCTGTGACATAGAAGGGCCTGGTTGAGGCTAGATCTGGGGAAAGCCAAGCCACTGGTGAGTTAGAAGGCAGCCACAGGAATCTTGGCTTAAACCAAAGCAAGAACAGTGGGGAAGGAGAGAAATGGGTGGATTCAAAAGACGTGAGAACCTTTTGTTAACAGGATGACAGCATTCTTTCTGGTTTGAGATGCAGTTATTCCTGGAGGCTGGTGAACTTTATGTGCAGCCTTTGATTCCACGTTGCCAGAGAAATGTTCATGGTTTCTGACCCACGTGTATCTGGCTCCACTCCCTTGAGCTGTCTAGCGGTCTCTCAGCCGTCAAGGGCGCTCTTCAATGTTAGTGCTCTGTCACCTCCTTCCACTTGTCTCATGTGAGCTGTCCACACAGAGTATACCTGTCTTCCTGTTTACACAAGCGTACGATATACTTCAGTCCAAAAGTTCTCTTTCTCAGTACATGTAAATCTTTTTCTGTATACACTGGCCATACTTAGGAGCAAACTGTGCCTTGATTCTGCAGTCATAGGGTGAGCGTATGTTAGGATTGGTGTTTTCTGCTTGTGGAATTCTTCTTCTGAGCTTTTAAGACATTTAATGATCTGTTTATAACTTAAAAATGAGTGTTCTAAGTGGAGTCTGTGAGTACATATGTGAGTCAGAAAAATACATTGAAGAGGTATTGTCAGTAATGAATTACAAGTATACATCTCTCTCAGCTATTTTTGGAGCTTTTAAAAGGTCTAATCAGATGGTGTTTTTAAGCAATTAAAGATCAATGTTAGTAATGGATTTTTATCTAGATTGTATCTTTTAGGAAGATATATGTTTATTTGGGTATAGAGTTGCTTCAGCTCCCTGGAAAAGAATTTATTTTTCCTTAAAGCAACTTCTACCCATATTCTTAATTATTTACAGATGATATGTATTTATTTAATATTATCATATTTCAAAATTAATAACAATGGAATGTTGGATTCACTTTAAACTTCTTTTCAGAAATACAGGTGAAGTTGAAATTTATATTTTCAAAAGCCTTATCTCATATTGTCTCTTCCTATAGCCAATATGGTAGATACTTACTAATGAATAACTCCATCTAGCTCTTCTGTAAGAGAATGAATGTTATCTCCTGCTACTTGCAAGAGATTGGTTCAATGGGTTTTAGAGGTTTCTTTTCACAAAGTTTTATTTTTTCTGACTGTAATGTAAGTTAAAATAGAGTTTGGCACATGTGTGCAAATTAAAGTATATGACATTTTCAGAATATACTTTTGCTCACTATTAACATGAAAGTAGTAGTTGGAATAAAGACTCCCTTTGTCAATTTTTGTCCTTTTACTTGCAGTTGTAATCCTGTTGGGAGTGGAGTACATTTAAATGTAAATAAAATGAAATAGTCAACAGATTTCAACTCAGAGAACTGGTTCCAGTGTTATTACATAACTCAATAATGTAGATCTCACACAAATGCCAGTGTTTGACCTTGGTTTGTTCTTGATGTTCTTTGGTAATTGCCGTCATCCTGGCAGTCACCAGAGGGCCCAGCTATGGAGAGTTATGTGAGAGCAGTTTGAAGGGGCTCACACTGTGTAATCTGCTACAGTGTTTTGAGATACTGACCCCCCAGTTTTATTACTATTTGTTGTTGTTCAGTCACTAAGTCTTGTCCGACTCTTTGTGACCCCCCTGAACTGTAGCACGCCGGGCTTTCCTGTCCTTCACTTTTTCCTGGAGTTTGCTCAAATTCGTGTCCATTGAGTGGGTACCCTTATTACTATTTACCTGGCCTTGAGTTGGCTCTTACTGATAGGTCTGTACTAGCTCTAGATAGTTGATCCTTTAACTTATTAACTAATTTTAACCATTAGTAAAAATCTAAGCACAAATTCATGAATTAATAATCATTGGATGTTCTGTCTCTATCAGCTTCTCAGATGCTGCACTAGTAAAGAATCCACCTGCCAATTCAGGAAAGGCAAGAGATGTGGGCACTGCTGATTTTAAGATCAAGTCCATGTTAGCATCATGACCTAGAAAAAGCTTACTAGCAGCAAATCACTCAACTTCTCTCCACTTTGAAAATACAGTATGTGTAGAAATAATATGGGCTTCCCTGGCAGCTCAGACGGTAAAGAATCTGCCTGCAATGTGGGAGACCCAGGTTCGACCCCTGGATCAGGAATATCCCCTGGAGAAGGAAATGGCAACTCACTCCAATATTCTTGCTTGGGAAATCCCATGGACAGAGGAGCAGGCAGGCTACAAAGAGTTGGACACAGCTGAGCGACTAAGCACAGCAATGCAACATTCCCTCTCTACTTTTGCATATAAAGCCATTTTTGTATAAATGCAGACACATATACAATATGCTTAGTTAGTTTATCACCTCACGAGAAGAACTTCCAATATATGATGGCTATCAAGAAGAGTATTATTTCATTCTACAGACCTTTCTATCTATACCTATGAAAATTATCCAGAAAGCACACATTGGAAAAAGACCAATCTTCGCTGACTGGGCTTTTCGTTTGTGTTAATTGTTACATGTAGACAAACCTGGGCATGTTGGCTTTATGTATCTGGGTTTGTGGATTTGCCATTATGTTTTTGGCTAGAATGTTATAGAGCACTGTTCAAGCAAGCGCATAGGAATGTGGAAGTTGGATATTATTCATCCTTTATTTAAAAAAATAAATCCATTCCCCGAACATTGATGATGTATAATTAAAGAGGCTAGAAAATAACCATGATAAAAGAAAAACATAAAAAGAAACACATGCTAGTTTTACTGGCTTCAGTGTTCTAAACAATTTTCTAAAATGAATCATAGCTAAAAGCTAAGATCCTTTTTCTAAAAGCTAAGATCCTTTATAGTTAGTTTAGGGCTTTGAGAAAGTGTTTATATTTTTACTGCAAACTTCTATGTTTGGTTAAGACTTGTGATGCCTTTTTGATAGAAAATATAACTTGATATGCTGAGCTTTTGGACTGGGCTTGCTGACCTGTGATGAGGGCATACTCTGAAGTATAGGGGGTGGCAAGGGGCAGAAGTGCCCAGGCATATGACTGAGACAACTCCATCACCATTATGAGGCCCGCCAGGAATAGAGATGTTCATAAAGTCAAAATTTGTAAGCCATAATGTCTTATATAAAATAAGGGTGATATTTTTTTCCCTTTCAGATTTTGGGGTAAGTGCTTTCTTAGCAACCGGGGGTGATGTTACCCGGAATAAAGTAAGAAAAACATTTGTTGGCACCCCGTGTTGGATGGCTCCTGAAGTCATGGAACAGGTAAAAAAAAAAAAAAATAATGTTTTGATTGACACAGTACAGTTGCACATATCATTAATACACTAACATTTCATTCAAATCAAACGTTTTACTAGAATGCATCATGTAAGGTTTAATTCCCAATTGCTGCAAAGTAATATCAAAGTTGAGCACNCCATAATCTAGAACATTTCACTCTTGTTCTCATGGTGTCCTGTTGGTAATTCATCTGAAGTAAGGGAGCCCAGGGTTTTTAGGAACTAATGTACATTTGGATACTATTTTTAGATTTTTTTTGTTATTCTTTTAACTGGCCCACATCATCATTTCTGTTAGTTTTGATGTGATGGTATCAGGATTGTTTTATCCAACTGGATTTTGTTTTGAGGCTGAAATAGCTTGAGTGGAAATTATGAAGGTATTTTACAGAGAATATGGTGTATGTATGTTTCAACTTTTTTCTAGGATTTTATTGGAAAAGCTTAGGAGAATTTAAAAAAACAAAACTGAAGATTAAAAAAGTTAAATAATTTACTGATTAAAAAGTTAACAACATTCTTGTTGTAGATAATGTTGAAGTACAAATAAATAGTCATCCATAATCTCATCAACCACAGATAACCCCTACTAAAATTGTAGCATAGTTTATTACATTGTTTTCTCTATATTTAATATACATATTTTTAATGTAGATAAGATTCAGGGATTGCATGTACACACCTGATTTTATTAGCTGAAAATTTAAAGTTGAGGTTTAAACAATGGAAGTGACCTTTCAGGGAAAAAGCACTGAAATAACCGTGAAGACTTTTCTTCTATCTGATTTTTCTCTATTATTTTTTCTTAGGTCTTTCTTTTCCCCCTACTTTTTAGTGTTTTCCATTTGAATCCATCACATTGCTGATCCCGGCCTAAAGGCCTGTAGGACTTCTTCAGATCTGACAGATTTCCCATTTTTCTTTGGATTGCTGTTATCCTCTACAAACAATCAACTGTCACTTTAATCCTTCATCTTTTCCTACATCTGAAAGCACTTGAAAAGAGTCTTGGCTTTATAGTATTTGCATAAATTAAGACTGATTTACACATTAATGAGTTTTTTTTCATTTTATAGGTCAATAGTTTGCTACAAAGTCTACTTTTTTTTTTTAAGCAAATAGTTTTGACGTTAGTGTGAAAGAGTGGAATTTTTTTTAACCTTTCCGATGTGAAAACTGTATTTTTATTTGGTTTTGTCCTTTTCCAGAAGCAGCATGGCCTTTTGTCCTGGTTATGGGTTTTTGCAACTTAGTTGTATCCTGGCTATCTTTCAGTGTCTTAGTTTTGCCAAGCCGTTAAGTATTTCTGTATGTTTTCTCATTAAGAAAAAGAAGGAAATCGTGTGTTACCTCCTGGGATGTTGTGGATTTATTTTTAAGGCCAGTAATGTGTTACAGAAGCCTTGAGCACGGGCAGTTCCTTACTTAGGAATGACCTGTAAACATGGACATTCCCTGCTGCTCTGGGCCTCTCTCTTGCCCCTCCACCGCCCCGTTTCTCAGAGCCCCTGTCTGCGCTAAGCTGGTGCTGGAGCTGTGAGGCTATGTGCTCCTGCAGGCTGTGTGAGAACCAGTTCCCAGGAAGCTCTGTCCTGGCCCCTTTGGGAGGTCATGTTAACACATGGAGCAGATTTTATAAGTTCTGTCAATGGAATAACAAAAAAGGTTAAAGGGCCCGTGAACAGATTTGCAAAGGGAACTGAATACTTAGAATATAGGTTTTCTAGGAAAATGAAAATCACGGGGAAGCACTTAGTTTGTACCTACGGGAGGAGGGTCTTTGAAACTTTGATTGAAAAAAAACTCTTGTAGCAAGCAGTGCCTGTCCAGAGATCATGTCTTCCCATTTGTCTTTGTTGCAGGTGTTGATGCTGACTTTGCAAAATGATCCACCCACTCTGGAAACGGGAGTAGAGGACAAGGAGATGATGAAAAAGTATGGCAAGTCTTTTAGAAAGTTACTTTCACTGTGTCTTCAGAAGGATCCCTCCAAAAGGTACGTCAGACGGAGTGGCGAGTGAGTGGCCATGGCTGGGTGGAGTCCTGACGAAGCATGGTTTGTGGATGGGGAAAGGCTGTGCCCGGACGGGACTTCTAGTTCAAGGAGATGCAGCTCTGGTCCCCAGACTTCCAGCCTGTTAGTAGCAGCTTGGATCTGGGAGGGATAGGAGTGAGCGAGGACCAGGGAGAGACAGAGGGAAATTTTCAGTGTTAATAAGATTGGCTGTGCTTGTTAGGTGTGGGTTCTGTCAGCAAAGGAAATGAAGTAAAACAGAAATCAGAAGCAGTTGGCAGCGGCGCATTCAGGAGCTGAGCTAATATTCTGCACTGTGTAGGCTGAGCTGACCTCTCAGGATTTGAATATCCTGCCAGCTCCAGTCTAAACCAGGCAGAGCTATTGAATTTTGCATGAGCTTCCTTTGAGTTGCGGAACAAGTTGTTTGTGCTGTTTTAAAAGATTATCAGTAAAGAAGATTAACATTTTTACATTCAAAAGATTAATCATATAAACAGAAGCAAATGGTTTTAAATTAACTTTAGTATTTCCTCTTTAGTCTTGGGTTATTGCCCTGCACTGTGGTACGTCTGTTTTCTGGGTTTGTCTCTTCCTTCTCCCTCTCTGTGAGTTTGAAGTATCCCGGGTAGTGAAGAGTGGAGCCCAGTGTCCTTTGTCACTTAGCGAAGGTTCGTGACAGGAAGGGAGCACGCCCGGTCACTGAACAGTCTCCCTTTGTGGCGCTTGGCAGTGTGCGGCTGTGTCCTCACACACCGCTACATGGATCACACACCTGGAGAGGCTGCTGAGAAGTTTCTGGCTACCCTCAGCCATCCAGCACTCTGATGTGATGCTCCTATCCCAGAATGTCGAAGCTGGCTTCTCTTCTGGAACTTTCTTGTCCAGGGGAGGACCTGCTTTTCGAAGGATTCCTTTATTTTTCAGTTCCTGAGGAAATTTGAGCCTTTTGCTTTTACACAGTGAGCTATTGTTTGAGTTGGCTGCCCCTCTCTAGAATAAACACACTTTCCATTATGTTACCTGTTCTTTGCAGTGACTTCTTTTACGTTCACTGAATTTGCCTTGAAAGAGGAAAAAGTGAAAGTTGCTCAGTCGTATCCAACTCTTGTGACCTCATGGTCTGTTCAAGTCCATGGAATTCTCCAGACAAGACTAATGGAGTGCATAGCCTTTCCCTTCTCCAGGGGGATCTTCCCAACGCTGGAATCGAACCCAGATCTCCTGCGTTGCAGGCAGAGTTTTTACCAGCTGAGCCACAAAGGAAGCCCAAGAATACTGGAGTGGATCCCTATCCTTTCTCCAGCAGATTTTCCCAACCCAGGACTCGAACCAGGGTCTCCTGCATTGCATGTGGCTTCTTTACCAACTGAGCTTTCAAGGAAGCCCTTGAACTTGCCTTGAAGCTTCTCTATGTCAGTCACCTTTCTCATGAAGCCAGGTTCAAAGACTCTCTGCTGTTAAGCATCTTGAAATCATTTGTTTTAACAGGGACGCAAGACTTGCTTACTTTCCTCTTGTATTTGGTGTCTTTTCCAAACGTAACCTTTTGGCAAGAAAAACAGAACTTGCCCCTCCAAACCCTAGTGAGAGAAGAACTTGTCCTCCCCTTTAGCACTAGATGGTAACTGATGGTCTTTGTGATTCCTAGTTGAGATCCCATCTAGTGGTAGTGATGGGTAATCACAATTCCAGCTATTTTTGTAAAAGATTCTGGAGGGTAGGATTGTTGGGCTTCCAAGGTGGCTCAGTGGTAAAGAATCCTCCTTCCAATGCAGAAGACACGTGTTTGATCTCTGGGTCAGGAAGATCCTCTGGAGGAAGAAATTTGGCAATCTATTCCAGTATTGTTGCCTCGATAGTCCCATGGGTAGAGGAGCCTGGCAGGCTACAGTCCATGGGGTCACAGAAAGTCAGACACAACTGAGCTACTGAACATACACAGAATTGTTAGTGTACTTACTGATATGAAAATATAACCCTTTAGGAGACTCATAATTTTGTCAAAATAGACCATCATACTTTATATTTGACACTCCATCTGTTTTTCTCAACAATCTTGAAAGTGTTTCCAGGTTTAATTTGTTACATGAGCTCAAACATCAGGTCCCCGTCGCCCCACTAAACAATAATGACAAAACTTTTAGAAAAGACCTGTTCAGCAGATAATCAAGTTCTTACGTCTTTTCCTCAGAGTACTCTCTTAGTAATGATATTGATTTACAAAGTATGAGTAGTTTAAGGACTTTTATTTAAAAGGTGTTTTCTCTATGACATAATCTTCTCACTGTTGTATGATTGTCCTCTATGACAGAGAGTATTAGTGGTGCATCAACTTCCCAGGTGTTTCTTGTAATGAAAAAACAGTGTAGGAAGTTTGGGTAAAAATGATTTGGGAGATGTGAGGGTGGAAGAAAACAGTATTATAATTGTTGAATTATTTATTATACAGGATGCTGTTAAAATATGTATTTGTGACTGAATTAATAAGTTAACATTTCATTGTTGTGCAAGTCTGAAAGTGTGAATTTTTCCTGTCTTCTCTGCCTTTGCTTATATTGTCCAAATGTTTTTCCTCTTCTCCTCTCCCCTTTCCACCTGTCTTTCACCACTTAGTTCAAAGGCCCCATATTCTCAAAGTTAGATACATTTGGGTGAGAGTCCTAGCCCTACTTCCTCATCATCTGTGTGCCTTAGTTTCCTTGTCTGTAAAATGGGCTTAATAACATCAGGTCATAGGGTTGCCATGGGGATGGAACAAGATAGTGCATTTAAAGCAGAGAACACAGTGCCTGAGTATTTCTAAGTATTCACGAAATTGGGATTGCCATTTTCTTTCTTTCTTCATTATTTACCTGTTTTTTCCCCTGACCAGTGGAGTCATTGCAGCTTCTAGTTTCCTACAGTATTTGAAGATAAATGTGTCTCTTGTAGCACTTACTGCACAGTGTAGATTAATTGACTTACGTGTCCAATTTCCTCATCAGTTTCTTAGGTTTTAGAAGGAGAGTCTGTGTCTCTCATCTTTCTGTCAACAGTCACTGGTCTGCATTACATACTCAGTGGTATTTCTTGAACACCTGCAAGCAATGGGGAGCTTGCAATTTGGGGATGATTTAGACTCCTTGAAAAGAATTTCAGAGCCAAACCAGACTGTAGCGGGTCGAGAGGAGTGAAGGCAGGAGTTTTGATCATTATATTTATTTCTCTTGCCAGCATATAGATCCTCTACTTGCCGTCTAAATGCAGTTAACTGGTACCAGCACCTTGGTTTTACTGAGTGCCTTTTTTAGCAATGAGTGAAAACATATCACTGGGTAACAGTGACCAGGCCGGAATCATTGCAATGTGAGCGCCCTCAGGCTAGCTGAGAAGGAGCTGTCAACCTCGGGAACTCTTGGAACGTCCCATTGCCTCAGAGCTGGGTGTCAGAGTTCTTTGCCTCATCCAAGTCTGTGCCCTGCATTTGCATAGACAAAGATCTGCTTATATTTGCATAGCAGAACATTTTGCTATTCTTAAAAAAAAAAAAAAACCCTTTCTCTTAGAGGCTACATATTTCATATGGATGGCAACTATAAAAATAACTAGCGTTTTTTGGGCACATTTTTCCATCCACAAAGGAGTGGATGTTGCATAGATGAATCCATTGGAAACAAATAAAACTTAAATATTTCTTTGGCGGGGGCAGGGTGAGAAATACAACTCTGCTGGAGGTCAGTGTATTGTTAGAAGTTAAAATACAAATTTTCAGAACTATTTAAACTGTATCATATTCACCTTGAATCCTTTGAACATTATTTTAAGTCTTGGTGGACTTTGGCTTATCCACATGTATTGAATCCTTTAAGGGATTTTCTTCTGAGGATGTTGGTGCTTGCAGCCTCCTTCTGCATTGCTTTTAAGGATTTAAAATTGAATTGTTATTCAAAGCCTAGGCCATCATTACAGTTGCTGGTATAGAATTTTAGCGTTTCTCATAATATGGTGTTTGCTTGTAATATTGTATTGCTTGATAATTGTTAGTGGCCTTGTAAGACATAACAATGCTTGCAGAATTCTTTCTACTGCAGTACTTGGCTAAGAGGCAGGCTGCATTGTTGGTTCCTGCATTAACCCTACACTAGTAATCTCCATGGGCTTCCCAGGTGGCTCAGTGGTCAAGAATCCACCTGCCAATATAGATGTGGGTTTGATCCCTAGGTCGGGAAGATCCCCTGGAGAATGAAATGGCAACCCACTCCAGTATTCTTGCCTGGGAAATCCCGTGGACAGAGGAGCCAGGCAGGCTGCAGTCCATGGGGTCGCAAAGAGTTGGACCCTACTGAGCACACACACACATAATAATCTCTATAACATAAGACTAAAACATGCAAAACATATAAAACCCCTAAAATCAAATGGACAGCATGCATCTTGGTTTTTCTCATACCTTCTCTCACTTTCTTCCCTTCCTCATTTTCAGCATTCCTCCTACTTCTACTTTTCCAATCTTTTTATGGGGGTAGTTTAGCGTATGTAGAATTCAACTACAAAGGGATCTGCTATTTAGCTCTTCTGTTTATAGAGTCGAGGTCACCTATTATTTAAATATCAATCCTGTTAAAAAAAGAACGAAATGGCAACCCACTCCAGTATTCTTGCCTGGGAAATCCCATGGACAGAGGAGCCAGGCAGGCTGCAGTCCATGGGGTCGCAAAGAGTTGGACCCTACTGAGCACACACACACATAGTAATCTCTATAACAGAAGACTAAAACATGCAAAACATACAAAAACCCTAAAATCAAATGGACAGCGTGCATCTTGGTTTTTCTCATACCTTCTCTCACTTTCTTCCCTTCCTCATTTTCATCATTCCTCCTACTTCTACTTTTCCTATCTTTTTATGGGGGTAGTTTAGCATATGTAGAATTCAACTACAAAGGGATCTGCTATTTAGCTCTTCTGTTTATAGAGTCGAGGTCACCTATTATTTAAATATCAATCCTGTTAAAAAAGGAATGTGGCTTTTTAAACGACTTCTCATTGCTCATGTCACTGTGTTACTGTATCTGTTGATGGAGTTAAGAGTAGAGTTCAGAGAACAGAGTCTTCTCTTCAGCGTGCTCTTCCCCTTTACAGTCTTGATTACCACAGAAAGGACCTTGCTGGGGAAGGAAGCGTAGTTCCAGCCCTGTATCTCCAGGTTGTTGTTTTGTTCAGTCACTCAGTCATGTCTGATGCTTTGCAGGCCCATGTTGCAGGCTCCTCTGTCCTCCACTATCTCTTGGAGTTTGCTCAAATTCCTGTCCTTTGAGTTGGTGATGCCATCTAACCGTCTCATCCTCTGCCTCCCCCTTCTGCTTTTGCCTTCCTTCATCTCCAGGTATATCTGGCATTTCCCAGTCTTCTCTTTACATAGGTCCTACACTTGACCTTGGTAAGCAGAAGTGAGGAGGTAGGGGTTTAGAGGAGAAAGGAAGGCATTTGTGACTTTCCTCCTCAGTGCCTCCACTGCATGGAGTTTGGTGCTCAGATATCTAGTAGCATCACTTTTACCCCGTATTTGATTCTGGCATGAAATTGAGCTATAGCAGTTTTATGGTCTGTCCTAGGCTTTGGGGATACAAAAAAATGAACACTGTGCGGTCCCTTCCTTGGAAGGGCTTATAACCTAGTGAGGTGGAGGCAGAAACAGGTCATTGCAAAATGAGTGTGGGTGGATTGGTATGTGAGCATTGAATTCTATTTGTAGGACCTGGGAGAAGTATCTTGGAAGATGGATGCCACTTAAATGGGTTCTTGATGGATAAGCAAGGGTGTGCCAGTTGGTTACGAAAAATTCTGAAGCAGAGCCGGGTGCTTTGTCAAGAAAGAGCAAGGTGTGGGTGAGACTGTCCCTGTGTTTGGAGGATAAGTTGGCATGGGGCACGATGGGAAGTGAGGCTGGAGGAGTTGGGATCTCAGGCCACTAAAAACCTTTAGGAGGGATAAGAAAATATTTTTGTTTAAAAGCCAGCTAGGGAGCAGTGTGGATGGTGGGTTGGAATGAGGAAGAGAGAAGTGGCAGACAGCCTAGCCAGGGGACTGTGTCAAAACAGTATTGACCAGAAAAAAAGTGAAAGTCTAAGTGGCTCAGTTGTGTTTGACTGTCTGCGACCCTTTACACTGTAGCCCGCCAGGCTCCTCTGTGCATGGAGTTCTCTAGGCAAGAACACTGGAGTGTGTAGCCGTTCTCTTCTCCAGGGAATTTTCCCAACCCAGGGATTGAATCCAGGTCTCCCGCATGGCAGGCGGATTCTTTACTGTCCCAGCTACCAGGGAAGCCCTTTGACCAGAGGAGTGGAGGATTTCAGCCAAAAGAGTGGCCTTGAGTTCCTTCATCATCTTAATTTTCTTTCTTTTCACTGAAAAAAATTAAATCTAGGTTATTTTGTGCGTGTCTTGGTTTTTGAAATTTGGTTTCACAGTGTAAGTTGCCAAACATACTCAGTCCCTTGTGTAATGGTTCTGTATGTTCTCTCAGTAGCCGTTTCCTTCCCACGAATGCAATCCATGTGTTTGAATGTTCTGACCATCCTCTCACCGCCTGACAGCACAGTCTCTTATCTGCCAGATTGTAAGCTGACGAGGGTGGTGTTTATGTCTGTCATCATCATCAGAGTGTGCCTGGTATCTAGCATGATACCTGACAAATAGCAGGTGCTCACTGCATACTTACTGAGAGTATGAAAGGATGAATTTGCAGTTTCTGGAAGCAAAAACTATCAGTGATCTCTTAAGAGTAGTCTACATTAAAAAAAAAAAAAAAGCAACCAAAGTTAAATCACTTCAGTTATCCTTTTTAGTTCTAGTGCCTGGTAAGCAAAGTACAGAAACAAGGTCCAAGGTAAAAATTCCTGAATTTGAATCAACTTACCAAGGAATGTGGAACACAGAATGTAAAGCGTGGCCCACCTGTCATGTAGACCTTTATTTACTCAAAGAAATGAGCAATTAGAGGCTGCTGGTTGCATTGGCTATGGCCATTTGGGGTTCTTAGTTAGGTACTTGTAACCAGTGTTCCACTTGAAATTGAGGAAAAGCACAATAACAATTTAAAGAGAAAATTTCTTTGCACAGAAATGCAGTTTATGGCCCCTGCAGACCGTCACAGTTTGTTCACCATTGAGCCAGATGATGTTCCCTAATTCTTTTATATGCTGGGTCCCTGCAAACATTTTAGTGGGGCTTCCTGGTTCAGAGCACTGGTTTCCAGTCTCTTCAAGTGTGAGGACTCCCTGTAAACTTGGATTCCGTAGCACAGTGGTCTTAGGCCCTTCGATAATCACTGCCTGGAAAGAGACCTAATGATACTCAGTCAGGCTTCCCTCCCTCCTCCAGTTTTTTTTTATTAAAAATTTAAAACATACAGAAAAGATGATAAAACAATACAGTGTTTACGTCTGTGTAAACACCTAGATTCAACAGTTATTCACATTTCTCATATCTGCTGTCCCTATTTATCTACATTTTATTGGCTGAACAGAAAATAAGGAACAAACTTACATCAACTTGCATTCCCTCCAAATAAAGACACATTCCTCCATCACCAAAATACTTTTCCACTCTTAAGTAAATGAACAGAAATTTCCTAAAATTGTCCGCTGCCTAGCACATTCACCCATCTCTATTTCTAAACGTCTCCTGTAGCTTCTTCTGTTCTTAAAATTCAAAACTCAGGAGAGGGTCACACATTGCTTTTAGTTTTATGTTTAAATATGTTTTCATCTAAAACAGTCCCCTCACGTCTCCCCTTTTCTTCTATGACACCAGCTTTTTTAAGAGAGCAGGCCAGTTATCTTGTTGGCTGTCTGTCCTCTAGATTTATGTGGTTCTTCCTGCATGCCTGCAGGACCTATTGAGAAAGGAAGTGGTTCTCTGTGGAAGAGTGCCAGTTATTAAATATAGAAGGAATGATGGAAGTAGAAAAATCAATGTTCTGCCACCTCCAATGAAATAACTATTTAAGGCAAAGATGCTAAAACCAGAAGGTGAAAGATTCTCCAGGACAGGATATGCATATCATGGGAAAGTATTGTCTAACAGAATACTTGCCAGTTGCAGTGGGGCAGACTTACCTTGGAGAGACCTCGGGCCTGGGGACCAAATGGTTCAACATAACATCTGTCCTGGTGAAATAACCTATCATCATGTGCCTCGCACGTGCTGCAGTAATTACAATGTGCATCATCTATGAAGTCTTCTTCCACCAAATACTTGTGTCAACCTAGCCGGGCCTTCAGACCCAAATGTCAATTTATCGGAAATACAGGACAGAGAAACAAGTTAAGTGACACATGAGGAAACGATCAGACTGGTCTGATTGTTTAATGCTTTTAAATGAATTTGCATTCATTAATCACTGTCACGTTTATGTTCCCTTGAAAAACAGTAGTCCAAGTCCACTTTGGACAGGGAGACTTGGTGAGCGGATAGAGCTTGTACACACACGTGGGCCCCCTTGCAGACACCGCCGCTCGTGGAGAATCGTAGAACACTGTGGACATAGTTTCCTTGATAGGGTCATACCACCGCTTGTACTGCTTCTGAATAAATACAGGATTTAGCTCACAGGCGTGTCAGTCTGCCACCTTTTAGAAACCCTGCATTCACTTAGCGAAGTGTAAGGATGGAGGATGGAAAGTTGGTCATGCCCCAAATATTTAACTTACAGGGGTTTATGTGTTTTGCAGTAGAGGTGTTTGAAAAGAACTGGAAAATCGGCGCCAGTTTATTTGGTGCCAGCTTAACGATGAATTTAGTCTGTGGTTTGCTATTCCTGAAACTGGTTTTCCAGAAAGACTCTAGGATTAAGGTGTTTCATCAAGGCAGTGTCTTTATTGAGTGGTCATTGTTTCAACTCTAATTTATTATTGATCTTTCAGGCCTACAGCAGCAGAACTTTTAAAATGCAAATTCTTCCAGAAAGCCAAGGTAACATGCTTAAAAACCCAAGTCAATCTGCTATTTTTAAAATCTCTACAAATTTCAGTGTATCGTATTTGATGTCAAACCTTGGGAATATTTGTTTTGCAGAACAGAGAGTACCTGATTGAAAAGCTGCTTACAAGAACACCAGACATAGCCCAAAGAGCCAAAAAGGTAAGCGCCAGAAGCACTCTTGCCCCAGTGGGAGCCTCTCCCCCACCCAGGGAAGTGGAGCCTCTAGAAGAATAAGAAAAAGATTTCCACATAATCAGGGTGTGTATTTAGAGATTACTGGTTAGTGATTACTCAGATAACTGCCTTTTGGTTACCTCAGGCTGCAGCTATGTGTTTGGGTGTAGAAACAATGTGAAACTCAAAATGACTTCATTTTTCCATTTATTGGCTTTGCTTAAAGTTCGGAGGGGAGGGGCTTGTGTTGAGACTAAAACACTGGAGAGGTAAAATATCTTTGAATATCTTTTTTGGGGGGTGGATTTTATCAAAGAGGAACAGTCATTTTTAATCAGCTTGAAATGACAAAATGAAAAACAAAACTTTCATTTTTAATGGTTATTTTGAATATCTGAGTGGCATAGTTTCTTTTCTCATAAAAGACCTTGATTTTTTTCTGTAGTCTATGCTATGTTAACTAAATTATGTTAATAATTGCCAAAAAACCCCTGGGTTTTAGATTTTTTAAAAATGGTATGTATGTGTGAGTGTGTATGTGTTGACCCAAAGTTTTTCTTATTTGTAATGTCAGATTTTATTATGGTATGAAACTTAACAAAATTTAAACTCAGATTTGGTTTGGTTTAGTTTGATTTTAAAGTTGTATTAGTTGTCTAAATTTAAAATATTGATGTAGGCACAGATTTAGAAAGGGGAAGTTTCTTTTTATTTCCTTTTTACAATTAATACTTACAGGGGAAGTTGATATGAATCTAAGTTATCTGCTCTGTTAATAAAATTGGCCAAAAAATATATGCATGAGAGGTTGCGTCTCAGGATACCTAGATGTTAGTAACTTGGACTGTTAATGTCTAGACACTGCTTTTTCTAAATCACTGGGTATGAAATACATTTAGCTGATGCTTTCAAATTGCTTTAAATATTAGATTTTAAAATAAACTTCAAGAAATGACCCATCTTGTGTGGGTATCTGAGCCTGTCTCCTAGACCTGCAGAATTCTTTGGAATGGGCTGGTTCTCAGGCTGTGAGTCTGGGCGAGTGATGGGGGATCACTGGCCTGACTGTGGAGATGTGAGCAGGGCTGGTCTCTGGGATGGCTCTGAAGGAAAAGTGAAAATTCAACAATATTCCATCAGAGTGACCAGAGAAGGCAATGGCAACCCACTCCAGTACTCTTGCCGGAAATCCCATGGACAGAGGAGCCTGGTAGGCTGTCGCGAAGAGTCGGACATGACTGAGCGACTTCACTTTCACTTTTCACTTGCATGCATTGGAGAAGGAAATGGCATCCCACTCCAGTGTTCTTGCCTGGAGAATCCCGGGGATGGGGGAGCCTGGTGGGCTGCCATCTATGGGGTCACACAGAGTCAGACACGACTGACGTGACTTAGCAGCAGCAGCATCAGAGTGACACCTCCCAAGGGGCAGCATAGAGAAGCCAGAGCTTCTGTGTGAGGCAACAGAAAGTCAGAGTACCCACCAGAGTGCGGGAACTCCGTCAGGAAGGCTTAAGGAGGTGCCTAGAGTGTGTGCCTGGGGTGTCGGAGTCTAGCCTGGGGTCCTTTGATCAGATAACTAAGCCGTCAGCCACAGGTGAAGAGAGCTGTTAGAAAGCCGCTAACTTGTACAGCGTGTGCACCCGAAGGCCTTGTTTCGGTTTCCCTCCGATCTCATCCTTCCCAGGTCTCCAGCCTCGCACCTCCCGCTCGGGCTCCTTGTGTGCTGTTTCCAAGCTGTTCTCCCTCCCAAACCTCACCTGGCTGCGCTGCTGCTCTCTAAGTCACCTGACCTCCGGACCCTGGGGTGATTCTTATATCAGAGGCCCCCTTCTTTGTCTCCGAAGTCCTCTCCACGTTTCCCTCTGCAATGTTTCTTGGAATGTTTCCTCCTGTTTTTAATGGAACATTTGCAGTAGATTTCTGTTAATAACTACTCTCCTACCGCCCCCCCCCCCTTCCTCCTTGGGCACTAATGCAAGGTTAACTGTCCAATCATGTCACTTAATTGCTCAAAAGTGGTTTCCAAAATTAAACAAAAGCAAATAAATGGCGGGGGGTTTCCTGTCAAATAAAGTGCAAGCTCCTTAGCCTTAAATTCATGGCACCATTTCAACTTCCCGCCTTATACCATTGACCCTTGAACAGCACACCAACCCTCTGTGCAATAAAAAATCGGAGTGTAATTTATAGTTTGCCCTCAGTGTATATGGTTCCTCTGTAACTGCAGATTCACTGAACTGTGGATTGTGTTGTACTGTAGTTTTACTACTGAAAAAAATCCATATGTAAATGGACTTGCACATCAAACTCGTGTTGTTCAAAGGTCAACTCTGTTGTATACTCCAGCTAAACTTAAAGCACCTCTAGTTCTTACTACCTAACCCGTACTTTCCTTTGATACTCCATCAGCAAAGAATCTGTTCAGACTGTCACTTTTCTTTGGTTTAATGTTTAGATTACATATTGTTACGTATTATTGTGTTGTGCATTCCAAATTTCATTTCGAGTGTATCTTAAATAACAAAGAGCTCCTTTCAGGAGATGATTTTCCAACCTTTGTTTGATCCTTGATATGAGACCTAAACCTCAGGTCTTGTCATTCATTCCTTCAAAAGGAAAATGGCCACACATTTCAAAGTCACACAGAGAAGAATGTGAATTAGGTCTTTAAACATCGTAAGAGAAAAGAGAAGGGCCCCATAATAATGTTATTCTGGCTCTCCAGCTTCATTAAGTTGGCTGTTTTCCTGTCATAATTCTCATTTTAAAGTGTAAGCTGGTTCTGAACTACACGCTGTTCCTTGCCCATTCGTTCCATGGCAGGTATGCCAACCAGGACACCATCCATCAAAACGCGTGTCTTGATCATAGTAAGTGCCCACAAATGTTTGTTGACTCAATGAACGCATGCTTCAGTGGGCCAAAGAAAAACCATTTGAAACTCTGTCACTCTCTTGAACCTCTCAAATGCTTGGCGCATACTTGTTCCTGGGCTTCCTGTTAATAATAAACCACCCTCCTTCTCGTGCGCTTATGATGTTCATAAGCATCCGTGCTGTTCCTTGTTTGAAACATGTGGGCTTGGCCACTGGGAAGTAAATACTATTTTGATCACCGTGTGAATTGAAAACCTTTGTGGAAAGATGACTCTTTACATGTAGGTTCTTAAAGTGTTTAAGTAAATGTAGTTTATGTTACCCTTTCTTGGACTTGCCTTTATTGGCATCTTCTCAGCTGTCTCCCTTCCTGTTTGCTGTGGGGCCCCTAGTAACTGTTCTCTGGTTTCTTGGTGGGGATATGTTCCGCAGCGGCTACTCCCTGTCAGTCCCTTGATTTTTGTCTCCTCAGTTTGTTGTTTTTAAAACAGAAACATTTCATTGATATACCAGTGTTTACATGACAACTGGGTGTGTGGCCCAAGCCTTGGACATTTCGGGAACCAAGCTGTTTGAGATTTGTTGTCATAAACCGTAATCTCTGCAGTTCCTCCCTTGTGGTAGTCCAAGTTAAGAGCTGTTTTTCAACACGTGTTTTTCTGTAACGTGAACGACCCTCATATTTAAGAGAGAGAGGGACTGGTGTTGCAGCTGCCCTTAGGACGCCCGTGGAGCCTATCAATGCGGTCTTTTGGTGTGAGAAAGAGGCTTCTCATATTCATGATTGCCCCAAATGTGAAGCATGAGTTGAAAGCCACATAATTCCACGTGCGTAGGTGATCTTGTCTGTATCCAGGATGACTCTGCTAAATCAGGAAAAGCACATTAAAAAATAGAGCCAGACCAATGTGTCTTCTCTAGTAATTTAGTGACATAAAGTGATTTTGATTTTTTGGATGTAGAAGTAATTTCAGAAATTAAGGATATTTGTTTTTGTTTTTTTTTCTCTGGAGGCAGAGTATTTGGTCCATGCGAAGTTCTTTTGCTGAAAGATAGTATTGTTCGGGGATCGGTTTTATTTACTTATGGCTGTGTTGGGTCTTCTGCTGCATGCAGGTTTTCTCTAGCTGCTGGGCCTCTGGTTGCAGAGCTGAGGCTCTAGTGTGCGGGCTCAGTAGCTGTGTTGCATGGGATCAGTTGTGGAATCTTCCCCGACCGGGGATCCAACCTGTGTCTCCTGCATTGGCAGGCAGATTGTTAACCCCTGGACCACCAAGAAAGTGCTTAATTTTCTTTCACCTTGATTTTTCTGTCTGTGAAATGGAAATTCTTTCTGACCTCAGGAATGTGGTGAAGGGTAATGAGACATTTGGTGTTTCTGGACCATAGGACACTGTAAATTCTAAACGAGAACATGTTAATAATGACCCAGGAGAACAGAGTAAGTGCCACTGTATAACTTTTCAACTTATTCCTTATCCTTGTGCATGAGAAGAAAAGGCTTTATTTTCTTCTCATGTGGCTTTTTTAGGGCCTGTCTCCAGCTGTCTTTTGGTGTTTGAAAGCTTGACTGAGTTTTGTTCCATCATTAACATTCCTGGAATTGCTGGGTGGAAGAGGTGTAAATCATTCTGTTAGAATCAGATGCAGATGCTTAGGACTCTCTGCACTTCCTGCAGGAGCATCTGAGCATCAGAGTTGGCTGACATCTTTGCTCTATGTTTGTGAAATAAACCTTGAGTCCCCACACACTCACACTCATATTCATATACTTGCTGTGGCTAAAGCTCTCTGGTGGCAGGACAGGGGTAGCCTGTCTAAATGCCAGCCGCTTAGCCAAAAAGTATGTTGGCCAGAGAAGGGATGAAGTGGGGAAACAATACACAGTATATCTTTTTAATATGGTTGTCTGTGTTTTCATGGGAAGTAGACTCACTGGAGGATTTATGGTTTGAATTTTCTTAATTATGAAATTGAGAAGTTAGAGGTGGTTAGTGATTATCAGGAGGAAAGGGGTGTTTTATCACTGCTGCATTTGGGTGAAGCCATTGTGAGTTGAAAAAACTCGGATAGCATTTGTGGGTACCAGAATTTGTTATATCAGGC